TTAAACACAGACTCATCCTCAAAAATTAAACTATTAGGATTTTGATATCGAAAATTAGGATTTTATTTGAATGGTAATGGTAATATAAGCTTGTTGAATATGTTGATTGAGAAATTCGAACGCCCATTGTTGTACTACAGAGGAATACACACACAAACACACAAAATTCGCACAAAAAGAAAATTAGAAGAATAAGCATCTATCATCTCTCTATTTGTCTCGATTGCAATTGGGTTTCCAAATTCATGATAAAAACCCTTTTAATTTCACAAGCATGTAGAGTTTCTCTTTATCTTTAAATTACATTTTTCTTTCTCTTTCTAAAAAATGCAGCTGTGATTAGAAGATGCCTAGTCCAGGGCCAAGACCTTATGATCTTAATCCTAACTTAACCACTCCTCATTGGTGGTGGGGCATCGACGTGATGGGGGCTACTTAGCAAGTGTTCCTCTTTCTCTCATTTTTTCTCTCACTCACATTCAACTGGAACTAGAATATTTTCCTTTTTTTTTTTTGATTGGTGAGGGATCTTAACCCTTAATTACTTTAGTGGGACAAGTGTCCCGTCATAATGTAACCACTTCGCCAGATCACTTCAGGGAAAAACTCTAGAACGCTTTTGGATAACCAAACGGCACTCTCACAAATTTAAAGCTGTAGTTCTAAAAAAAAAGAAGTCAATTCTAAGCACACATCACCCACTTTAACTCTGTATATACCCTCACCCTCTCTCTCTATGTCTCTCTTATCTATTCGATGAAACAATGTTACTCCACCACATAGTTCCTCTTCCTCAATTATTGGACAAATGTAAGGTCTTCTCGCCCCAAAGAGCTCAATATCTATCTCCTCTCTCCACACCAAACATTTCCTAACCTCAGCCCAACAATTGCATCATCAATGGCAGACTCAGAGGCATCCTTGCTGATTATGGTGTAACAAACGCATGTATAGATCTGATCTGAACCTGTTTCTAAAATTGCCAATCAGATTTAGCTATGCCCAAATTCTGTAAGTAATATTTGAATTTTATAGTTATTTAGTGTGCTATTAAATTTTTTTTGTATATATGTTTCAGATTTTATTAGTCAAAATCTTATTCAAATCCTTGTTTGTATTTATTTTGCATCTGGAGTTGTTTGATTTTCACCAATGTTCTCATCTTATACCGAAAAGAATCGCGTTTCTTACACCCTTCTGATTCAGAAACGCAGAATCGCGTTTCTTAGAGAAAATTGTCACCTTCTTGGATGATTCCTGCCCCTAAGAATTATGACAGTCTCATAGGGGCTCACCAAAAGTTCTTATTTGTTGATTCATTCATTTTGTAGAACCTTGGTAAATATCATTGGTTGAAAAAATTAGATTGATTTGATAATTGCAATATTTTTATTTTATCAATGTCTTTGAAAAAATAGACAAGAAATATATCTTTAAAAATAAATATTTTTTTTTGATTGGTGAGGGATCTCAACCCTTAATTACTTTAGTGGGACAAGTGTCCCATCATAATGTAACCACTTCGCCAGATCACTTCAGGGAAAAACTCTAGAACACTTTTGGATAACCAAACGACACTCTCACAAATTTAAAGCTGTAGTTCTAAAAAAAAAGAAGTCAATTCTAAGCACACATCACCCACTTTAACTCTGCATATACCCTCGCCCTCTCTCTCTCTATGTCTCTCTTATCTATTCAATGAAACAATGTTACTCCACCACATAGTTCCTCTTCCTCAATTATTGGACAAATGCAAGGTCTTCTCGCCCCAAAGAGCTCAATATCTATCTCCTCTCTCCACACCAAACATTTCCTAACCTCAGCCCAACAATTGCATCATCGATGGCAGACTCAGAGGCATCCTTGCTGATTATGGTGTAACAAACGCATGTATAGATCTGATCTGAACCTGTTTCTGAAATTGCAATCAGATTTAGCTATGCCCAAATTCTGTAAGTAATGTCTGAATTTTATAGTTATTTAGTGTGCTATTAAATTTTTCTTTCTATATATGTTTCAGATTTTATTAGTCAAAATCTTATTCAAATCCTTGTTTGTATTTATTTTGCATCTGGAGTTGTTTGATTTTCACCAATGTTCTCATCTTATACCGAAAAGAATCGCGTTTCTTACACCCTTCTGATTCAGAAACGCAGAATCGCGTTTCTTAGAGAAAATTGTCACCTTCTTGGATGATTCCTGCCCCTAAGAATTATGACAGTCTCATAGGGGCTCACCAAAAGTTCTTATTTGTTGATTCATTCATTTCGTAGAACGTTGGTATATATCATTGGTTGAAAAAATTAGATTGATTTGATAATTGCAATATTTTTATTTTATCAATGTCTTTGAAAAAATAGACAAGAAATATATCTTTAAAAATAAATATTTTTTAAGACAAACATGATAAAATTATACGTAGGATTGTACAAAATGAATAATTCGGATTATTAAAAGAGAACTTGTGGTGAGTCTCGTGAAATTCTTTCGACTTAATATTTGAATTTAGATTTGAATTTTTAAAAAACTCAACCGTAAATTTATGTATTATTATATAAAAAGTGTTGGAGATCGACAGTTTTATATCTACAAATTCAATTACAATAATATGGCAAGACAATTGGACATTATGTTTTAAATATAATTAAGTGTGTGACAAATTAAAAATTAGTATATGTTAGCATCAATTATGCTACATCATTGTGGATTAAATTAGATTTTTTTTTTCAAATATTATCATTATTATATATGAAGTTCTCTAATGGATGAAAACTGTAAAGCGACCATTCACAAAAATTTAGAAGTCTTAGTGTCCGTTGCTATATAGTGCTTGTTGCTGCTGTTGTATGGTGCCTTTTTAGGAGCAACGTGCTGAAAAAGGGTATTTTAGGAATATGAAAAAGTAGAAAACAAGTGAGAGAGTGCTCACACTTTTAAAATACCTAGTAGTTAGGCACGTGTGTTGCACGTGACACATGATTTTTTATCAAATATTAGTATTGTAATTATGCATGTCTCTTAAATTGGTATGTGATACGTATACAAAGTATGGAGACTTGTATGGGTGAATTGATCTGTATCTAAAATACTACTAAGGAAGAAATGACTTGGCTGAAGAATTTAAATGATAGATGAGAAATTTTATAAACATAAACATTAATTTATAACTAGATTATTGAGATTACAATCTTATCTTAAACAATAAAAATAAACAGGTCCTTTAAATATATAGTGTAATAATTTTCCACAATCCATACTTGTAATACAATTAAAGGTATGAAATTAATTGCATAATTACACAATTTTGTTTAATACTTCACGTGTTAATACAAATTCATTGAATCCGCTGGTTGCATATTATTTGCATACTATTTGTGTAAGAATGCATTAATATCAATATATAATATATTTTTATACATTAAGAGTTGTTGAGTCTCGTTTCCTGTGCCACGAATATCTTGTACGATGAAAAATATAACATTAGTCGTTAGTATACAATTGCTATACAATTGTCGTGAAAAAAATAAATTTAAAAAGTACAATTATCATCGTGATGTAGGTGTTTTGCAAAGTCTTGATTTGTTATTGAAAGTGTTTGTTGTGGATAGGAGAACAATAGACAAGTCCACAGTTTTTTCCTAACAAATATAACTATATTACTAACCACTCTCTTTCGTAACACAACCCCACCTAATTCGACTGTCATCAAATAAAAATGACAAACCTCAATAAATACACTACAAGGGTTAATTACTCGCGTTCGGATCCTCTAGAGTGTTTCCCTAAAGTGATCTGGTGGAGTGGTTTCATTCTGGAGCAACACCTGTCCCACTAAAGTAACCAAGGGTTGAGATCAATCCCTCACCAAAACGGCGTCGTTTTAGTGGGGGATTTAAAAAATAAATAATAAAGAAAAAGAAAATTCTGGTTTTAGTCGATAGAGAGAATGAGAGAAAAAGAAGCAGTCGTTGAGGAGTCGCTGCAGCCACCAATGAGGAGTGGTTGATTGTTCTTTTTAGTAATAGGGTTGTGATTCAAAAAACAAGCCCAAAAAACACATTCTAAAAGGGAATACAAAAATTACTTTGTACCTGAAAATCTGTTGCAATGATTGAACCTTTCATGGTTTGGTGTCTATCGTTGTACCAATTGTATATGTCTATCGTTGTACCAATTGTATATTAATGACTAGTGTGAATGCACATGCATGCCATTTTCCAAACATTTCTCGTTTTCCATATCAAACCATGCAATGCCAGATTATATGTTAATTCATGAAAATAATCCTTTCAATATAGAAAATAGGGTAGTGGATACAAATACTAGAAATCTCTAGGTGGCTAGTAGGCTGTACAAGCACTACCAAAGCCATTTTATCGGTACTAATCGGAAAGATCGGCACCTAACCGCGTGTGTTTCTAGACTTTCATCAAGGACACACATGCCAACACCATAACCACAACCACAACCACACTCCCTAACTAGATTCACCAAGGTATTCACCTATTTTCACTACAAGAATTTACACAATTGCCGACCACTTTTGCTGACCAAAAAAATTTTGGTCGCAAAAAAATGACATTTGGCGACCAAATATTAATTAGTCGTGAATGATCATTATTTTCGGCGACCAAATATTATTGGTCGCAGAAGGTTATATTTTGGCGACCAAAAAATGAGTTGGTCGCAGAAAGTGGTATGCTTTTGCCGACCAACTACAAATTTGGTCGCGGAAGGTCACATATTTTTTGGCGACCAAAAATTTGGTTGCCAAAAACTTATTTTCAGCAACCAAAAAAAATTAGTCGCCAAATTAGTACTTTTAGTGACTAATATTTTAGTCGCCGTTGATTGAGATTTGGCAACTAAAAAAAATTGTCGTTGAAGGGTACCTTTTCCGCGACTAATTTGATATTTTGGTCGCCAAAAATTTCTGAGGGAAATTTAAAACGTGGGGCGGGAAATCAGAAACACATTTTCATTTTCTCCTCTCATCTGTTTCTCTCAAACAAACAAACAAATATATCAAAATATGCCCACAATGTATCCCTGTTTCTCTCACTCTCTCCATCTGTTTCTGTTTCTCTCTATTATTCACACAAGCACAAACCCTAGACCACCATTCAAAACCACCACCACCAAAAATGTCTCACGCCATGGTGGCGTCGCCCTATTTCCCCACCGTGAGGTCAGCGGCGAACTCACCAAGGCAGAGAGCAAACACGAAGAAGGTGACTAACACGAAACGAAACAGGAGCAGCGCTGGAGCAGCAGTGGGGTTCGGTGGAGAGATGAAGGAAGTTCGGTAGCAGTGCGTGTAGCCGCCTACACTCTACCATTGCTAATCCTCTCGATTTCAGACCTCTTTCATCAGGTAAACACGCTCTCTCTTTCTCTCTCTCTCTCTCTCTCTTGCTCTCGTTCCCCCAATTTCAAACCCTAACTATAATTTTTAACTTTTCAGATCTTTACCTCTCAAGAGTTTCCTCACCTTGAATTTGCTAAACCTGTAGTTTTTGTGATATGGGTTTGTTTGAATTTCACTTTTTCTTTTGTGAGTTTAGTTTGGTTTTATCATTGTGATTCTCTGTTCATGTTGTAATTTTGCTGTGTTCACAAATTCATTTGTGGGTTTTTATATATTTAGTTTTGCTTGTTTGATTGTTATCTGAGATTGGTCTGTTGAATTGTTATCAATTTAAAAATTCTAGTTTTTGAGATCGATGGGTTTATCAATGTCCTGTATAGAAAGATGTAATATGAACCCATAATGGGAATTGTAGTTGTTGAGTTACAAAATGAGCTGTTTTATACTCTTGAATTACTGCATTACAGTCTTGACATGTACTTCGCAACATGGGTTAATGGACCAAGCTAAGTGAATTAGGTATCATTTCTGGATATATTTTAATGTGATTGAGGAACTTTTTACCATAATGATAATGAAGTATAAAGTAATGATGAGGTACCCTGGCTTTTTGCCCAATGATTTTTGTGCGATACCTTGCTTGCTGTGCATGTTTTCAGTTTGTTTGCGTTTCCCATTTTTTTTCCATCAATTTTTTTGATTGTGCTTTATTAATTTTTTTACTGAAACAATTTAGGGTTAAGTATACTTTACCCGTATGATTTAGGCCCAAAAACCTATAACTCTCTTCAGGTCTAGAAATCTACACATAGCTCCCATATGTTGCTCAATTGTGGGTGAGATGTGTGGTGGTGACTGCATTAGGATGAATTTTGAGAGAAAAATTAATTGTAATGCGCTTCTTTTTCTTTCATCTTCTTCCTCAACTATTCACAATCTCCCTCTCTTAGCCCCTCTTCGATAACAGCTCATCTATCATACTACTCATACCCATCTTCATCCTTTTTGTCAGAACTCCAAACTTCTAAAGGATTCCTCAACCCTCCATAAGGCAAGCAATTATAGGACTTAATAGAAAATCTATTTCCCATACTTCTATCTCTTCCTATCCACCCTATTTGAAGGTATTGGAATCCTATTAAGGAGTTCAAGGACTAATTTTCTTGTTAAAAAATTAATAGATCAAACACCTTGTCTCCTTTTCTGAAAATGATCCTACACTAAATTATAAATGTTCTCCCCATATATGAGTATGTTTTTCTTTTCGTTTTTCTTTGGTATTTTTTTGGATGTTGGGCGGGGTTGCAGCAAGGTGTTGTCACCGATGCTTCTTTTCTGTTTTTGAGACTGAACTCTTGGAGTGCAGCCACTCCGTGCTGGTCAACTGTCTGCTTCACAGGAATCAGTATTATCTTTTACGAAATAGCTGTAATGTGCTTGATATCTGCTTTTTAGAAGTTTGAAGTTTTGAGATTTGTAATCTTGATCAACACCCTACTTATCTTGGAGCCTAATTATAATTAGTTGTCTGAAACCTCTGCCTAAGGATATGATCTGAATATTTTCAGGGGGGGAAAAGCACATTGGAAAACTGCCAAGTTTTACAGGTTTGGCTTTTATTTCCTTGTATTATTATTGCATTTGTGTGGTATCAGGTTTTGTTGTGTTTCTTCATAGCATGTTTTCTGTTATACAAGGCTGACGCATTTTTTTTTCCCCTTCCTGGAAGTAATGCTATCAATATATTAATGCAGTTCACTTCACTGAAGTGGTACAGTACCCAAAGTCACTCTCTTGTAACGGTTCAATTCATTGTGCATTTAGAATTTGGGGAAGGTTAGCTATATGACAAGTAATAGAGAAAAAGAAAAAGAAAAAGAAAAGATAATAATTTAAGATTGTCCATGTTTGCTTGAGGCAATTGCAACTGAAATGAAGCTTGCCTTGAATTTCCTGGAGGCTGTAAGGGATCAGTTTGGATGGTACAAGATATAGTGTAGAAATTTTCTGAATAGATTAAATAAAAAAAACTGTGAGAAAACATAAGAAAGAAGTGGGAATTGGTTTTTTATGGCCATACTTGGCTTTTGATGTAATGACAATCCATATGCTATATGATGGCGTCACTTAGTGAAACAATGAATTCTAACTTCATTCTTGTCAACTGGGGTTATTTTATTGTCAAAAAGAAGCCAACTATCTCAATGCAACTTTCAAAAAGTACAAAAAGGAATTGAAGAGAATGATTGGTGACTAAGTTAAGCTCTTCATCCACTTGTTGATTCAAGCATGTCAATAGAAGTGTATTATATCCTGCATTTCCATAACATGCTTGTTATTTGTAGATGTATGTTTATCATTTTTTATAAAATTTCAAACTTTAATCAAACCTTACAATTCACAATCCAAAAAATAGAATTTAAAATTACAATTTAAATCTTGATTTGACAACTGCATTCTTGAAAAAAAACTGGCACCTATGAATCAGTGATAGATTTTTTTTGAGCTCAGTTATCAGGGAAGGGGCAGATGCTGTCAAATTGGCGTGATGTATCAATCTATCATGATTTTATGACTCCTACAGTCATGACCTTACAGATTACGATCATTCCGTCTACTGGGTTAATCTTCAATGATATTATCATTCCCCTTTAGATCTGTGATGGTTCACTTGGGGCATTGCCTTGCAATCTTTGAGTTATTATTATATATTCTTTTCTTCTTTTGGAGTTAAATGCTTTATGGTGAGTATTTTTTCAAGTTTTGGAGATTTGGAGAGAGGGATTGGTAAGAGTTACGTTGGTTTCAGGAGCAGTGGCCCTTCATTCTGTTAGTCCATTCGGGATGAGGGACTTGGTGAACTTTTGAGCAGATGGCTATCCATAGTGACAGCATGTCATGCTCAGTCCTTTCTCTTTATGGTTTTCAGAAAATGTTTCTTTTGCTTCATAGTCTTTTGAGATTTTTGGGAACACTGTTAAAAACATTTTCAGAGAATGTAACAAACTCTTCCCTTTAGACACTCCTTATATTACTTGCTTTGGATATTATCAATTTGCTTGTGTTCGACACTCCTCTTTTAAGTAGGGTTGTAACAAACAATCTGCTAGTGTTCAGTTCACTAAAAACTCATTCGAGACCTGCTCGTTTTGTAAACAGACCAAGTTTGAGTACATCTTAAAGCTGGTAATTTTCTAAACTTGGCTCAAACTAGACTTGATGAGCTTGTATGCAATCTATGGGCCAATTTTGAACCCATTTTGTAACTTGTTAGTCAAACTTGAACAAGTCACTACTCTCTCCGATTTGCCTCGTTTACTTTTACAGAAAGGGAATGAAATTTATGCGCTATGATATTTTAGGCAAGTTTGTGCTTGAAATGCACTTTAATCTACCAACTGCATAAAACATTAGATACTGTATTACCTTGGTAAGTACATTTTCTATGACATACTGAGAGCCTAAACAAAAGAGATCCATCCGGTCCCACAGAAAATAAAAATAGTCACCACTCAAGGTGCACACTGTAACTCTCTGACGGTAACAATCAATAGTAGCACGATATGAGGATAACAAATCCATGCCTAAAACGACATCAAAGCTTGACATGTCTAACAACACAAATGCAAAAAGAAGTCGGGCTCGGCAACCTCTATCTCACAACCACGACATCCCTGGCTTAAGTCAACCTTACCCCCAATTGGAGACTCTACCCTGAGTGGAAACGCTAACTAGGCCACCTCTAACCCCAAAACTGATGCGAATGAAGATGAAATGAAAGAATGTGATGAACTAGTATCAATCAACACATTGGTAATAGAATTGAACAACAAGAAGTTACCTCTCAAAATAGAGGGTGCTGGCAACTGATTTGGTGTGGTAACAACATGCACATGCCCGATAGTCTCTACTCCACCTGTTCACCCCTTGAAGCATAGGACTAGTAAGCTAACTACGTCGAAGAGGCTCCTGGTGTGGCCCTCGAGGCTTGAGCTGACTGGGTAGGCTGATGGCTCTATGTCTGCCTCAAACCAAATGCACTAGATGTGCCACCTACCTAAGGGAAAAACCTTCTCAAATGCCTTAATTGCCTACACTGATAATAGGTAGGCGGCTGCCCTCTTCCCTGACTATAGCTTTGTGAACGAGCCGTAGACGGTGCAGACTGCTGCCCTTCTCCTCTCTACGGGCAAACTAAAGATTTGTGGCCCAACTGGCCACACATAAAGTCAGTGATACCATCTTGACTGCCTTTCCCTGAGCCAGAACTCGGTACAGGAAAAGTGGATCTAAACTGCGCTGCCTGGGACTGCTGTGGGATAGAACCCCTCTGCCTCTTATTGTCTCGTGTCTCACCCTAAACCTCTGGACTCCTTTGCCTAGAGCCCCCTTATCCTCTCATTTTTCACCTGAATCACGGTCTCTAAGTGAGCCGCCGCCTCAAGGAGACGACTGTAATCCCTAATCATAGACTCGGCCACCTTGAAAAAGAGCTCGATCCTCAACCTCTTCTCAAACTCAATACAATGATGTTCCTCCGTCACCACAAGCTTCGATGCAAATCTAGAGAGGCTAGTGTAGACACCCCATTTTTGACCGTCCTCAAGACTTGGACGTCACCGTTTGAACACCCGGTGATCATCTATGTTTGTGTTCGTTTGGAGTTCCCGGAGGTCTCGGCTACGCGCTTTGCCTCAGGATCTCCGAACTCGACTGTTTAGTGTCTGGTTTTGCACCAAACACTTGTGTTTTGCCTTGGAGGGGCAGGGAATGCCTTGTGAGGCATCCCCACACATCACTGGCCATGGCCAGAGGCCACCAACTGGTGTTTTGATGCCATCGGCAATGTATATTGCCGGTCGGCACTCCATTTTGACAAAATGGCAATTTTGAGCAGCCGACTACTGTTCATCTGCTTTTGCAGATATTTTAATACAACTGTATGGCATTTTGTTCCCCTCCATACACGTGTATAGAGGGATGGACTTCTTGTTAGCTTACCTTGTAAGCTTTACAAGATTGGCTCCTCTATAAGAGGAGCCCTCCCCTCTTGGCTTTAGGGTTAGACATTTTAGAGACAAAAAATACAGAGGAGAGCTCTGGTTCTAGGTTTAGTATAGTTGTAGCTATTCTATCTCTCTTTTTCTCTCTTGAGTGTTCTAGGTGCATTTGTTCTTAGTATTGCACACAAACACCCACCATTACACCTTCTCTTGGCTATTAAGGTTCTAAGGGATTCTTTTCAAAGTTTTGGAGCTAGTTTGGAGCTTAAGGAGCTGCTGGAGCTCCATTTGTGAAAGAGGTCTTCAAGGGTAAGAAACTAGTCCCTTTTTACCCCATTTTTGCATCCTATTTTTGCCTATCTTAGAACTGTTTTTGAGCTTAGTGTATAATACAAAAAAGTTCTTTTTTTAGGCCCTCTAAATAGTTTGTTTAGAGTGTTTTGTGGTTTGAGGTTGTTTGACCCCTCCTAAGCCTTGTAAGGCTCCATTTTGTGCTATTTTGTGTAAGCTCTGAGACCTTGGTGTTTGGGCCTCCTCACCACTGAAATCTTGAGGGATTTCAAAGGTGAGGATGGTGCCTTGAGGTCCCAAGAAGGAGAGGGCCACCCCTCTCCTTGTTGTCCTTGAAATGGACCATTTTTGGCCTCTTGAGGGAGCACCTAGCTAAGCTTCTTGTTGACCATGCCTTGGCTGTTTTTTGTGCTTATTATGTTATAATATGCTTCTGTTTTTAATTGGTTTTGGTACACCATGCATGCTTAGCATACCTACCTTGTAATGCCATGGTTAGGCCTTAACATGCCCTAGGTTGTGAGCCTTTGTTCTAGCATGTTTTAGGTCTAGCTTTGTGAAGCTTTGGTACTTATTTTATCATGTTTGAGGTCTGTCCTAGGTTGTTTGGGTCGGCCATGGCATGTTTAGTATAGCCCCTTTGCATTTTGGCTTGTTGGCCTTAAGTATGTGAGGGTATAGCATGTGTTACTTGCTTTATTTCAGTGGTTTAGCACCATTTGTAGCATCATTTCAGTCCCTTTAACATGCTTGTACGCTTGCCTTGGGTGCCTCTTTGAAGCTTTGAAAGCTTGTCTTGCATGCTCCATGTTTTGGCCATTGTGCATGCTTTTGAATTTGAGCCACTTAGATGCCATCTAGGGATCCCCTTTGCATGGTCTAGGTCTGCCTTGGACCTGTTTTAAGCCCTCTTGGCCTTGTGAGGCTTGGTTGGCTTAACCATCGTTTAAGCCCCCCTTGACTTGCTTCAAGTACTTGGGCTATTTGCATGCTAATGTTTAGCTTATCTTGTTTGTTTGGTTTGGCACCATGCTCTTGCATAATTTTCAGAGTTTATTGCATGTCATTTGTCCATATTTGTACCCTCTCGAGTGTGCTCGAGAATTGCTCTCTAATGCTTAGGCGTTGGTCATTGTGTGCATGCATGTTTGCATGTCATTTTGCCTTCATTCTTGTGCATGTTGGCCGCTGTTTTGGGTCTCGTATAGGGCTGCCCAAATTAGCTTAAGTCCATTCTTTACATGTTGTTACATGTCTTACACTTTGCATGCTTTGATTGCATCATGTCTCGCATGTCCACTAGCTTGCATGCTTGTCCATTGCTTGCTTGTTTGCATTGCCATGTTACATCCCTAGCTAACATGCTTAGGTTGCATTTAACATGCATATCTTGTCCCTTGATTTAGTGATAGGGATTGGACCCCTTTGGATTGTTGGTTTGCATTGCATTTAACATTAAAATGTGCACACTTGGTCCTTCGGGCCATCACGCATGGAAATGCGCGATTGATGGTCCGGGAACCAAGGAGCATGTCCCTTTGAGTTACAAACATGATAA